TCTGCTGCAGGCATTAGAGTTGAACCCTTTGTGTCACTCTGGCAAGATGTTCTGCTCCTGAATCAGCTGGGTGGGTCTTGCCTCTAGCCTCTTTGCAGAGAGTTCTGCTGAAGGGTTCCATGCTGGGCCTGCAGCCTGGGTCGAATGAGGATCCGCGGGCCCCGGTAGTCTCACTCACTCCCTGGGCCTGCGCTCTGAGTCTATTCAGGATCTCGCGGCCCCGGTCGTCTCACTCACTCTCCGGGCCTGTGCTCCGGGTCTGTTCAGGATCCCGCAGGCCCCGGGTCCAGAGTTAAATTTTTTATTGAGGCTGTTTTGTTTTAAAAATTATAGATGCTTGGGGCTGGTGAGATGGCTCAGTGGTCTAAAGCACCTATTTGGAACAAGCTTGGCAAAGCACAGGGACCACAGTTCGATTCCCCAGCACCACATGCCAGCCAGCCCCGCCCCCTGGTGGGCTGAGCTGGCCACACACACACACACACACACACACAATAAATAAATAAAGATTAACTTAAAAAAAATTATAGATGCTCATGCAGTTGTGAGAAATAATACATGTGCCTTTTACCTTGTTTCATTTGGTGGTTACATCTTACAAAATCCTAGCACAATAGTGCAATCAGAATGTTTACACTGATAGTCAAAAGACAGAACAGAACCTGTAGTCCTAGTACTTGGTAAGCCTAAGGTAGGAGGATTGCAAGGTCGAAGCCAGCCTGAGCTACTTGGCAAGACAATGTGTCAAAGATCCAAAAGGAAGAACAATATACACATCCTTTCTGTTGCCCTTTTCAAACTGGCCCCATCTCCCACCTGCCCCTAACCTCTGCACTCTTCTCAACCCATAGATGCAGTTAATCTCCATTTATATAATTGTATAATTCCAAGAATGTTAAATGAATGAAATCGTGTAGTATATAACCTTTGGGGATTGATTTCTCCACCCAGCATAATTCTCAAGTGATTGCTGTATCATTTGTTCCTTTGTACTGTTTCATGCCGTTCTGTAGTGCCACAGTATGTTAAACCACTCACCTGTTGAAGGACACCCGCATTATTTTTGGTGTTTGCAAAGGCCCCAGCAGAGGACAGATCCCAGGCCCATCCAGCTTTGAGGATGTCTGCAGCTTCCACATCTGTCATTGTTTCAGACCCAGCTTCTGTGCCCCTACCCTGCTCCTGTGGCACCAGAGGCTGTGCAGATTCAGAGACCTGTGTACTAGCCACAGCCTCCTTCCTTTCCCTCCCTGTTTTGTTTGAGCCTGCCCCGCTTCCCTACTTTCTCCCAGCCTTCATATTTGTTTGGTCTCTGCATTTCCTGTGAATTAGAAATTAGCTATAAGGGCCAGCGAAATAGCTCAGTGGACTAAGTGCTTGCTTAGGTAAGCACAGGAGCCAGGGTTCGATCCCTGGCACTGCATGCCACACCAGCCACGCCCCCAGGCACGCTGAGCCGGTGATGGAGTTCAGGTGTGGTAGCACACACCTATAATCCCAGCACTAGGGAGGCAGAAATCAGGAGGATCACTACGAGTCCAAGCTTCGTAGTGAGACCCTACACACAAAAAAATTAGCTGTAAGCCCTCATCCTTAGATTGAGTTGCCCCAACTCATTTT